AAAAAGGGGGCTACAACCTCTGCTTTTCGGAGTGATGGCTTTTATGTGGCTGAGAGATCAGATTCCTCTGGGTCTGATATTCAACCCAGCAAGCAGGGAATTCATTTGAATTTGGTTGAACTGTAAATAACAATAAATCCCAAAAAACCATGATAGAAGTTCAGGTGGAGGCCTCTGGTCAGCAGACCCTATCACCAGGATATTCACCTCGAATATTCCCGTTGTCCCAACCCACCTGTCCTACAGAATGAGTGATGTCACTGCCCTTGTACCCAAGCTCGGTTCCTCCCTGCCTGGGCCCCTGTGAGGAGTGGAGTTTTCTCCCCACTATTCAAGAATCCCCCAGTCCCTGAACCCTGTCTGGGGGACTCTCTCCCCACAGGCTCCAAACACTTTCCTCCCACCCCTGTCTGAGGGTGGAGGGAATTCTGCACAGTCTCATTCCTGCGGTTGAGGGAAGAAATGCTGAAAACAACCAGAGTTTCTCTTACCATTACTTTCTTGCAGAAACTGCTCTGCAGGCTTTGGAGCAGAGTCTGCAGAGCACGCTTTGATGCAGAGAAGATTCAGATTAGCAGCGTCTGCTTGAAGAAGCATGTGCAAAACATAGAGGGTAGCTGATACACTCTTTATTTGACTGGAGGGGCCCCCAGAAGTCAATATAATTTCCTCTATTCATTTGTTTAAGAAACTCTTTCTTTCATGGACAGTATAAAAGCAACTTTAGGGTAGCCAGCGTCAAAACTGACAGAGATTCTGAATTAATGGAATTGTATTAATTCATTCATTAATTGTAGCCCGCCCCTTGGCTGACCCCAGAATGGCCTTGGACGGCCTGAACACTTGGGCCTTCTCCTTTACCAGAACTTTCCTTTCCTTTCAAAAGCAGGCTTGAGAAATGTGGCAGAGGCCTGTGCTGTACCTTGGTGCTGGGCAGCTGGGTGGGGAACGGGGAGGCCCCAGAACTGGCTGCAGAGAAGTGAAAAGGAGAAGCCAAGTGGTGGGGGGGGG